ACCAAGCAAGATAGTTCTGACCATTAAATAAAGAGGCGGTGATTTTAAGGATAGGGTTTAGGTTTTCAGATGTAGTAGTCATAATGGGACTCTCTGCTATACGTGGTTGAGAAGTAGTGGTGGATTCACTAGTAAAATCATCCATTTGTATTCTATAACTGAATAACAACTTGCACTAATCACAATAATTGGAAGAGGGACTTAAAAACAATGGGACCAAGCAATATCAATCACAGACCATGATAGGAGAATACCAATCAGTCAAAGCTAGGTAATGGGGTCATATAAGGACCCTAAAGAACAAACAAAACTAGGAGAAAGAAACTTGCTGGAAATTTGGTTATTATTGCCTTGATTTAGTCAATATTCTAGGATCTGTTTTTTCCTATATAAATATGGAAAGTAAAGGCTGTATAGAATCAGGAAAAATAGGAAAGTAGAAGCTGCCAAATATTAGCTTTAATTAGTTTCCTTTTCTGTTGTAATTGCTCTCTTTATAAGAGAGAATCATGTTCTCATTCTTTAAGTGATTAAAAATATATTCCTTCCTCATATTTTCTGAGTTGGTATCAAAGCAAAAAACACAGCAGCCCTAAAACCATCGTAGCCATGTCGGAAGTCACATCCAAAACCACTTCAACCCCTGCTGTTACCATTCCGGTGAAAACGTCCAACTCTCACTCTGTCCAAATCACCACCATCCGCCTAAATGGTGATAATTTTCTCCGCTGGTCACAATCTGTCCGGATGTATATCCGTGGGCAAGGAAAGATCGGTTACATCACTGGTGACAAGAAGGCTCCTGCTGTTAATGATCCGTTGTTCGACAGTTGGGACGCTGAAAACTCCATGGTTATGACATGGTTGGTCAATTCCATGGAGGAGGATATAAGCTCTAATTACATGTGCTATACTACTGCACAAGAGTTGTGGGATAATGTTAGTCAGATGTATTCTGACTTAGGAAATCAATCTCAAGTTTTCGAATTGACTTTGAAGTTGGGTGAGTTTTTGGCAAAAAAGGGGATTTTTCATCAATCTACATGTCGGGATACCCCCAACAAAATGGCATTGCAGAACGAAAAAATAAACATTTACTTGAAGTAGCACGTGCTATAATGTTTTACATGCATGTTCCTAAATATTTATGGGGTGAAGCAATTTTAACAGCCTCTTATTTGATAAACAGGATGCCTACAAAGGTGTTAACATACAAAACACCTTTTGATTGTTTCAAAACTTTTTTCCCTGACACGAGGATGTTTTCTGATTTACCCGCCAAAGTTTTTGGTGTTCATGTTCCCAGTCAATTTCGTTCAAAACTTGACCCCTGTGCTATAAAATGTGTTTTTTGGGTTATTCCACAAACCAAAAGGGGTATAAGTGTTTCCATCCTCAAATCAAGAAATTTCATGTGAGTATGGATGTGTCATTTGTGGAAATAAAATCCTACTTCCCCGACAATTCTCTTCAGGGGGAGACAAGTGGAGTAGAAGACAATTTTTGGAATATTTCTATCCCACTCCCCAATGTCATTTATCCTACACAAAAACCACATCTGTCTGATAATGATCACTTAGGAGAACCAAGTTCTTTGGTGCCTAGTCAAGAAAATTCTTATTTAGAGGGAGAAGTACTACAAAATGATCTAAATTCTGAGCTTCAGGTTTATACTAAGAAACGATTTCATCTGAGGAATAATGACCCGAATGTTCATCCTAATGACCCGAATGTCCACCCGAGTTCTGGCATCGAAATTTTAGGTAATCCTATTCCTTCTATTTCCGACCTTGATGTTCCTATAGCAATTAGGAAAGGTGTCCGAAATTGCATTAAACATCCTATTGCAAATTACCTCTCCTATCAAAGACTGTCTAAAAACCATAGAGCTTTCACATCTAGGATTTCACACTTGTTTGTTCCAAGGAATATACAGGAAGCATTGGATGATCCGAATTGGAAATTAGCAGTTATGGAGGAGATGAATGCTTTAAGGAGAAGTGGTACTTGGGAGATAGTTGATCTACCTAAAGACAAGAAAACAGTTGGGTGTAAATGGGTGTTTACGATAAAATGTAACGCAGATGGAAGCGTTGAGAGATACAAGGCGAGACTGGTGGCTAAAGGCTTCACTCAAACTTATGGGATCGACTATCAGGAGACGTTTGCTCCTGTTGCTAAAATAAATTCCATCAGAGTACTGTTATCTCTTGCAGTAAATTCAGATTGGCCTCTACATCAACTTGACATTAAAAATGCATTTCTCAATGGTGATCTTGAAGAGGAGGTGTTCATGAGCCTACCGCCGGGATTTGAGCAGAGACTTGGAAGTGACAGAGTATGCAGATTGAACAAGTCATTATACGGACTCAAACAATCACCAAGAGCGTGGTTTGAACGCTTTGGAAAGGCAGTTATCAGTTGTGGCTTCTCGCAGAGTCAAGCAGATCACACAATATTTTATAAACATTCAAAAGACAGTAAAATTGCAATTTGGATTGTTTATGTTGATGACATCATTTTAACTGGTGATGATGAAGCAGAGTTAGCAGCCCTCAAAGAGAAATTCGCAAAAGAATTTCAAATTAAGGATTTGGGAGCCCTCAAGTATTTCCTCGGAATGGAATTTGCAAGATCCAAGGAAGGTATATTCGTTAATCAGAGAAAATATGTTCTTGATCTCTTTGGAGAAACAGGTATGCTTGGTTGTAAGATGGTGGAGACTCCGATCGAGCCTAACTTGAAGTTACAAGCTACTAAGGCTGAAGAAGTCAAAGAGAGGGAACAATATCAGCGACTTGTAGGAAAATTGATTTACTTGTCTCATACGCGGCCTGATATTGCCTTTGCAGTCAGCATGGTAAGTCAGTTCATGCACCCACCAGGGGCAGAGCACTTTGAGGTCGTTTATAAGATCTTAAGATATCTGAAAGGAACTCCAGGGAGAGGCTTACTATTCAAGAAACATGGACATCTTTAAGTTGAAGTATACACAGATGCAGACTGGGCAGGAAGTGTTACAGACAGGAGATCAGCATCCGGATACTGCTCCTTTGTAGGTGGGAACCTAGTTACATGGCGGAGTAAAAAACAGAATGTGGTAGCTAGAAGTAGTGCAGAAGCAGAGTTCAGAGCTGTTGCCCATGGAATTTGTGAAGTAATGTAGATTAAAAGAATTCTTGAAGAATTAAAGCTTTCTCACCCGACTCCTATGAAGGTCTATTGTGACAACAAAGCAGCTATATCCATAGCTCATAATCCAGTTCTACATGATCGCACAAAACATATAGAAGTGGATAAACATTTCATCAAGGAGAAAATCAATGCTGGCATAATATGTGTGACCTACCTTCCAACAGGTGAACAATTAGCTGATGTGCTAACGAAGGGACTACACAAGAAGCAATTTGATAAGCTGACTAGCAAGCTGGCTATGGAAGATATCTTCAAACCAGCTTGGGGGGAGTGCTGGAAATTTGGTTATTATTGCCTTGATTTAGTCAATATTCTAGGATCTGTTTTTTCCTATGTAAATATGGAAAGTAGAGGCTGTATAGAATCAGGAAAAATAGGAAAGTAGAAGTTGTCAAATATTAGCTTTAATTAGTTTCCTTTTCTGTTGTAATTGCTCTCTTTATAAGAGAGAATCATGTTCTCATTCTTTAAGTGATTAAAAATATATTCCTTTCTCATATTTTCTGAGTAAATTTCTAATAAAAAAAGTGGCTAAACTAATCTCAGAGAAGAGAAAAACTTGCTTGAAGTGGAGAACCAAAAAAAAAAAAAAAAACCTTGGTGTGAGTGGAATATGAGATGGTAGCCCTAAAGCTCTAATACCATGTTAAGAGAGAACAAAACTTAGCGAATGATTAGACAATCATCTCCTTTTATATAGATAATAGGTAGCTTACAATGGAAGCTTTGGAAGCACAAATATGGAAATAATAGAATAAGGAAATAACAGCTATGGCAGCTTTGGAGGCATAAATATGGAAATAATAAAATAAGGAAATAACAGCTAATAAACCAATCAATACCCAATCACCCAAAATATTATTCTCACAATACACAATCACCCAAGATATTATTCTAACAATTACGCCCTGTGTCCTAACCACGTGGGGTCGGCTACATGATTTTTTTTTGCCATTCTACTTTGTCAAGGACTATATGCTATTCTTTTTAATAACTTTCGCAGGCAGTGAGTGAGAAAAAAAGTTATCCCACAACTACTTAGGAAAAGAAGTGAGTATTTAAATCTGGGGTAATAATTGTTAAATTTACTTCTAGGAAAAAAATAACATGCAAGGAACACCCTTACTATTGTTAATTGGTTTCTAAATGACCCCACTTGAAAACAAAAAAATAAAATAAAATCTGGCTCAGTGACTGGTTACTGCTTTTAATGAAATGATTATTAAACATAAGTGTGCAAGTTATGAATATGATTATTAATCACTCTGAAGTGATCTTCTGTGTGCTTGCGCAAGGAACACCCTTACTCAAGAATTAAGTTTCTATTTGCATTAGCAATTAGATTATGAAGAAATGATCCGCCAGTGTATCTATTTTCTTTCATCTATTAGTAATTATTAGTATTATTTTTTCAGTCTTAGAAGAAAGAGATATTAATATAGCATATCGGAAAATTTTATTTTCTAAAGTGAAAGTTAATTGTTAATTGGTTTCTAAATGACCCCACTTGAAAACAAAAAAATAAAATAAAATCTGGCTCAGTGACTGGTTACTGCTTTTAATGAAATGATTATTAAACATAAGTGTGCAAGTTATGAATATGATTATTAATCACTCTGAAGTGATCTTCTGTGTGCTTGCAACTTTCCTTTTGACGTCTGGTAAATTTAAATCTATTTTTAATGGACTTGCTAGTTGCTACTGCATAACATTCTTTTATTATTCTTGTCTGTTTATAGTTCCTAAATCAGGTTTGATCTCGGCTCAAGAATCTTGTCTGAATTACAGTTCTATTATTATCTTAGGGCACATTACAATGTTATTTTGAAGGCAATTGAGGTGGGTCATGATGTTCTACAACTTCCCACAGATGTATTGGAGTCTGGGAAAGCGGTGGTAATTGATAGTGGTACAACCTTGGCATATCTTGCAAATGACTTGTTTACCCCACTAATGGACAAGGTATGCAAAATCTTTTAAAGCATATTGACCTTGGACTCTTCCTATCAAAGACTGATTTGCTCTCTCTTCTTCTTCAAATTTTTTTTTTTTTTCCTGTGTAATTAGATTATGGCCGCACAACCCGATTTGAAATTGCATACCGTTGAGCAGCAGTTCACTTGCTTTCAGTTCAATGGAAAGTACGGACCCTATATGGGATTTTTTTTTCTTCTTTTCTATGGTGAAATGTTTGCAGGCTATTTATATTATGAAACTTACTTGCTTCAAGAATTTCACTTATCGTTTTACATTCACATGGTGATAAGGCATAGTTGTTATATGCATGTATATATCTGGTGAGTTTTTATAATAAAAAAAAAAGGGCACCAAGGGGGGGCTACCTGTGTAAAAAAAGCATCAAGGAGAATATCACCCCTTATACATTATAAGCAAATGAGAAATGAGTTATTTGGTGTGTCATTGCTAGAAAACTAGTTTCTCAAAAGCTTGAGTTGTTATTGACTTGGCCCAATAATATATGTCAAGTTCTCACACTCCACCTCCATGTGTGCCCCCTTTGCATGTGGAGAGGAGAGGCAAATAAATAGAATGGGGTGTAAACACAGACAGGATAAAGTGCACATGTAGAAAAGGTAACATTAGATGTGATGTTTTGGACAGATAGTCTCACATGCTTCAAAGAGTATGGAGGTAGAAAATAATCAAGCATTTAGATGTGATGTTTCCAATTCTTAGGCAATATAGATGCATTTTTGCTGGTGCTTCAACTCCGGTGGGTCTATTGTGTTGGAGTTCAACCCTAGACCAAACCACGGAACTAATTCCTATGCCCCATCATCACTGACCTTTTTTAATTCTTATGCAAAGATCACCCTATCCAACTTCCATTCATTCAGATACAATGATTTTTCCACATCCTGACCAATATAACTCAACTTCTTTCATTATAAATCGTGAACAATAACTGGCCATCAAAGCTAGTTGTCATAGGTTACATCTTTTTGCATTGAAACATTAAAATTTTTGGCCACAATATTGAAAAATCTAACAATGCAAACTCATTATAAATTGAAGTCTGCTTCAACTATATAGCATCAGGCCCATAAGTCAGTATAGTTTTTATTCATTACAATCCAAAGGTTGTTGAGTTTGTGTTAGTTACATCAATGCTAGATTTGTGGCCCAATTTATATTCTTGAATTAAATTTTGATCACAAGGTTTGTTTGAAAGCAATTTAGTTTAGTTGGTGCGTGATAATATAAAGATGCTTCATTATGTTTTCTTTTCTTACATTCTTGCAGTGTGGACAATGGATTTCCAGCTGTCAATTTTCGTTTTGAGAATTCACTTTCTCTGACGATTGTTCCTAGTGAATATCTGTTCCAACTTCGTGTAAGTAATCTGGGATTCAGATCTTGATGAAACTTGTCATCCATTAACATGGTTGTTTCTTTGAACTAATTAAATTTGTAGTAGTGTGCATTATTTGTAATTACTTTTAAAATCATCCACTATTTGAATACTTGCATGAATACTTGATGAGGAAACGCTTATCGCAAAGGTAAGTTTCTATTTACGTCGTCTATTTATATCTTTAGTTATATGAAGAAATTTCTTCTATAGCTCTGTCTTTATTTAAATTTTTTGGTAATGGATAGTTCAAATGAATTTGTTCTCTCTAATATGGTGGGGCTTTGAGAAGTGTGGCATAATCTCATTAACATTATTTAGAAGTTTTTTATTGAAATTTGTTAGTTATAATTGCATCCTCAAAGAGGTTGGGACTGTTAAAGTTTATGTGCTGGTATATTTTTTTCTGTGAATACTGTATATCTATATAGGACTCGTGAATGTTTAACAAAATATTTATGTTGTCCTTTTTCATCTTTGTTTATTGTCCATTCTTAAGTTTGTTATGAGAAATTTGAGTTGGGGTTTCGAATTGGGTTCTGATTTTATTGCTGTTCAGATAGCATTGTGTAGGTGGCACATACAACTGAAAGCAAGATGGCAGTTGAAGAGTAGTAAAAGAAAGTCTTATGCATCAAATATAAAATTTATTGTTCTCGTATTCGGCTATTCTAGTCTTGATATTACATTAGAAATGCAACTTTTGGAATTTGTTAAGACTTGAAAGAACAATTTGTCAGGCTTTTCATTTTATTTGCTTTAGATCCTTAGCACTAGTTGATCTTTTTTTATATGAAAAAAAAAAAGTATGTTTACCTCTTCACATGCAAGGTGAGGTCACATTTGAGGAGTGTTAGCCTAATATACATTGTTGGGCTCATTTCCTAACAATGAGTTGGGGTTTCAAATTGGGTTCTGATTTTATTGCTGTTGGGATAGCATTGTGTAGGTGGCACATACAACTGAAAGCAAGATGGCAGTTGAAGAGAAGTAAAAGAAAGTCTTATGCATCAAATATAAAATTTATTGTTCTCGTATTCGGCTGTTCTAGTCTTGATATTACATTAGAAATGCAACTTTTGGAATTTGTTAAGACTTGAAAGAACAATTAGTTAGGCTTTTCATTTTATTTGCTTTAGATCCTTAGCACTAGTTGATCTTTTTTTACATGAAAAAAAAAAAGTATGTTTACCTCTTCACATGCAAGGTGAGGTCACATTAGAGGAGTGTTAGCCTGATATACATTGTTGGGCTCATTTCCTAACAATTTAAGTTTTTGGACAATTGGTCATTTACCAATGCAACAAAGCCATAAGTTTACTTTTGAGTAGTATTTTAATTCAAGGTAAAACAATGGCCTTGGGAGGCGAGAGGAGGTTTTGTTACATGGAACTCTCCGAAGGTCTTTTTACTTCATATTAATAATAAAAGAGTAATTTTTTTCCTCAAATCTTTCTTATCGTCATTTTTGCAGGATAACGTGTGGTGTGTTGGTTGGCAAAACGGTGGGATGCAATCAAAGGATGGAAAGGAACTAACTCTTTTGGGAGGTATCATTCAAAATATACTTGTTGAACTATAATTTATTATATACAATGAGCTTTTAAAAAAATTGAATTATATTATTCACTTTTTAGTCATTTTGGGTTGTGTCATGAGCCAGTCCTCCCGAGTTTTTTTAAATTAATTTAAGTCTCATTTCTACATCTTCAAGCTACCCCATGCTCACTGCTTACCAATTGATGTTTAATCGTAACCCTAAAACTCTATTGTTGCAATGATTTGAGCAGGGTTTTTTACTCTATAAATGATGAAGTTTGTCTTGTTGAAATACCTAAAATGCTCAAAACATTTCATAAATTATGAAATTTTCTATATGAACAAGTCAATAATTACTAATTATTAATTGTAATCAATTTAACATTGCCTTCCCCTTGATATTTGGGATTCTGTGTGAGATTATTGTGGTTGTTGTTTCATTTACTTTTATATTTGGTCATAGGTTTCATTCGTATAGGTCCTATTCTGTAATTTTCGACTTGTTTTCCACCCTCATTTTTTTGGCCTTGCCTCTTGTCTTGGAACTTGCAAGTTGAACCACACTCATATTCAATGATTTCCATGGCCCACAGAGCATGAACACTTCTATGAAGTTGGAATGGCAATGGGGGGCAACGGGGCAGATATTAAGGGGTTGTTTGGGATGATCTAAATAAGTGCACTTTTTGACTTTTTACGAAAAAACGTAAAATATAGGTTGGGTTTGAAGTGATGTGGTAGAGAGATGATGTGATTTAAATGAGATGATGTGACTTAAATAGGATTGTGACTTTTTGACTTTTTTGTATTATGCCAAACTAGGCCTAATTCTCGATTCCCATCCCCATTCACCTTTTATAATTTTTCCCCATTCACCTTTTATAATTTTTCCCCATTCGCCATCCCCCATCTCCTATAGGGACTACCCTCCCCATCCCCTAATGGTTTTGGATTTTCCCAAACCCGACTTGACCGCTTTTTCACCTTTTTTAAATATATATATTAATATTATTATTATTATTATTTTTCTAAAAAATTATTTTGAAAAGAAACTTGATTACAATTTTTTAAAATTGGCGGTAGAAGTGGTGTCAAAACATATGGAGAAATAGGTGGGTACCCATCCCCGAAGGAGATTTAAATCACGTCACTGACCCGACCCGATGGGTAGAAAAAATGGGGGGAAACCCATGTATTTCGGGTCGGTCTCCATGGGTAACCACTGGGTAGGGTCTCCATTGCCATTCCTAGCTATTATGTCCGCACGCATCAAGCACCCACACTCAAACAAGGCCTAACCATGTCAAGCACTCGTCTAAACGTATCATATTATTCTTTTAATCTTTTTAGAATTGGACACGTTTCAGACACTTGGGGAACTCATGCATCCATCCATCACTTAAATGCACATGAAACACATTGCTAAGTTTGAAAAAATAACTTGAGAGTCAATTATTAGAATTAAAATAATGTGGATTTATACCTACTAATCTTTTGTCCTTCAAGCTTTTAAAATTTAGGAATTTGAAAGTCTAAAATTCCAATTTGTTTTGGAATAGATTATTTCAAAGTAGATATTAGGAAATATTAAAATTTCTTGTTTACACTTCTTCTGCAACATATGGAGGCAGGCACTAATAATTTTAGTCCATCATGGGTATAGAATGTTAAAATTGATTTCTTACTATTTTGATATAATAAAATAAAATTTTTAGTTTTGGACATGGATGGTAGAAAGGCCAATCATTTAAGTAACTATGTTAATTACTAAGTCATTTTGCCACCTCAGAATGCATGTTGTTGAAAGAGAGACTTTGGTTGAAATTGGCTTTTCTATGAGACAGCTTTAGAAGTTGTGTTATATGGTTCTCTCTATGGTTGATGTGGTGATAAAATGTGATTCAGTCTCTGGTACGATGGGATTATATAAAAAACACTGCTCTGCCAGCTATCGGAATTGATCTCAGTGTCTGTTCACATATAGTTGTAGTAGATTTGTGCTGCCTATCCTGTTTGAGTTTTGAAAGTCATATCCCAAATTGGGAGATGGAGCATAAACATTAGCTTCTTTGAAGAAGCTCCGAATGATAGTACTGGAACATTTTGATCTTTATTTAAGAAAAAATAATGTTAGATACACCTTTCTGCATCCCAGATTGAGAGGACTTGAGAGTGGTTAATCCCCTTTTATACTAAAACCAAGGATGTTAATCACCTTTCAAAAACCTCCATCATAATTATCCAAATTATAGAGGTTCACCCCCTCTTAGTATTTTTTCATAAATTTTAAGCAGCCATCCTCTCTTGATTTAAAAAAAAAAATTAAGTGATTACTTCTCTATATCTATAAAATATTAGATAAAAATATAAAATTAGACAAAATATAATAAAATTAATAATTTTTTATAACTACCATTGATAACAAGCCCGATTTTCAGATAATAAAATAAGGTATTAGCTAGTTATTTGATCATGTTCATTGAGGAAGACATTATGTTAGAATTTAAAGTTATTCTATCATAGGTGCTTTTAATGACATGAAAGAGCGCTAAACACAACTCAAGATACTTCACTTTAGTAAATAGATTATTTTTATGATTGCTATCTTTTTCAATGTGGATAAAAAAAATACTTACTTGTATATTATTTTTGTTTTTTAAATGTCAGTAGAAAATTGATATTGTAATCCATACTTTTTATTTAAAATTTTAGTTAGTATGTGTATTTTCAAACAAACCCCCCCCCCCCCCCCCCCAACAAAAAATTCTGGACCCTGACTAAAACCATAAATGGCGTTTTATATTAAAACTAGTTCATTACAAAATAGGTTCTCATTAATTTCTTAAACTCTTAGTTTCTCAATGATGAATTCCCAAGAATTTTTTATATTCTTCTTCAGTTACTATTTGTAATCCTTCTGAAATCTTTTGTAAAATAATATTCTTGATCAATGCACTCTGAATATATGGACTGAAAATGATGCAGGCCCTTGATTACAAACGAGCTTATTGATTTGATGGACAATGGCATTTGCATTTGCATTTGCATTAAGGGAGGAAAAAAAAAAAGAAGAGTTGAGTGATTAGATGTTCTCGTATTAATTCATGCGATTTTTCCACTCAAATGCAGATATGGTTCTATCGAATAAGCTCGTTTTGTATGATCTCGAAAATCAGACTATTGGGTGGGCTAAATACAATTGTGAGTATAGCATACTGCTCAGTTACTTCTGCGTTTTTTGGTTGGTTTCAGGATTTTACTTTGTCCTTCTCTTGTATGTTGGTTCATTGGAAATATTTCTTTCTTTAATATTTTTAGCATGTATGTTCAAATTGTGAAAGCAAAAATAGTAATTATTGTTCTCGAGTACCTTACAGTATCTGATTTGATGTTTCAATCTCTCATCTCCATTATTTTAAGAATATTCTGAATGACAGGGTGTGCTACATGCACTAACTGCGTATTAGACTACTATGTAATTGTGAGTGTAACATGCTATTCAATTTTGTTAAGAAAAATGTATGTTTGAATCAAATTTACTTCTGAATTGAATTATTTATGAGAATATTCCAATATTTGTGTCCTAAAAGTATCATAGGTTATTGCAGTCTAGTATCTTATAGCATCTAACTTGACTTTGACTTTTCTCCTTTTTGGGAATATTCTGAATGGTACGATCTGTTTTGTGTATCCAGAGATGGTTTGACATCTGGATGTTTTTTGAAAACTAAGATCTACATCGAAGCAGTTTTTACGTGTGTTGCATTTCTATACATAACATATTCCTTTGGGGATCAATTAAGGCCTGTTTGAAAGTCCCTTGGATTAGAATGTCCTTGGTTTCTTTCCAGAGTTTGAGTTTGTAATATATCTTATCGACTGGAGCTATTTCAGAAAATGATATCCAAAATAGAAAAAAGGTAAAAAAGCCGATGTTCATTATTCCAGGTAAACCTAAAAAACTAATTGGCTAAAAAAGAAATATGATGAAATCCCAATCAATCAAATGCCATTTGAAATTCTGACATAAACCACATTTTCTTCAGAAGTTCATAAAACACCCTACACCATTTGTCTAGGACAAGACTTACTTTTTTGAGGAGATGGGATGAGTGAAGAGTGACAAGATGCAAGGACTTTGAAAGATCTGGTCTATCCATTCTAGTTGGAGAGAAATTGGGTTTTAGGTTAAAATTTGTATATAATACATGCTTTAAATACGAATTTGTCTTAGTATTGGCAAGTAAAAAATGATTTCCAGTGTATGTAGATTCATGAAAAATGTAGCTGCGCAGTTTAAAAAATGCGTGCATTTTGTTGGACATGAGCAATGACACAAGGTCATAAATTGTGTTTGTGATTTGATTCCAGGCTCTTCAAGTGTCAAAGTGAGGGATGACCCATCTGGACAGGAGTATCTTATTGGCTACCATGATCTTGCTTCAGCAAGCAATCGGAATACAGGATGGACTTTAACATTATTGTTGCTACTGGCTATCCTGGGCAGTTTCATATGACGAGATGAGAGAGGTTTGGCAAGTTGATTGGCAGCAATTGATTTTGTTTTGTTTTTGGTGTACACTAATTAGTATAATGTAAATGTGTGCATTCGTATGATTCTTTCTTTGGTGTCTCAGTGTTTTATGCTTTGAAGGATTCAGGTTGTTGGTTAGAGTTAGTTTTATACTTAAGTTTTTTCGGTTTCTTAGTTCGGCTGGATTTCATCATTGGAAATTGCAAGGGACATTTTTTTTTTATTTTTTTTTTATTTTTGGAGGACTAAATAATGATCTCCTTGGCATATATATTCATTTCCACGTGGAAGTTTAGTTTTACATGGCATTCTCAGTGGTGCTTTGTTTTTTCCTTGGAGTATGTTAAATACAAACATCCATTTTAATTTATGTCTTCCTTATCATGTGTACAATGAAAACAGGGGAAGAAGAGAAAAGAAGACTGGAATTCAAAACAGAGTAAACCAGTCTTTGGGAAGAATTTTTTTAGCCTGCCTTTTTGGCTATTTTAGTTTGGCTAAAAAAGTTTCATTTGGAAAGAACTTTTGGTTTTTTTATAATTTTGTGTAAGAAAAAAAATGAAATGATTATGATTTAAATGTGATATTTTATCTTATTGATTTTTAATCTATTTTGTCTTTTAGTGGGTTAAATTAGTCCCAATTTATTTTTCAAACCAAGCCTTATTGCTTCCGTTTGATAGAGCTGTGAGAAAGTAATTATAGATTATGGCTTAACAGATATAGATTATAATTTTAAACCTAAGCTGTTAACCTGTTTGGTACAGTTATGAGATTATAGATTTAATCAGCAGAGTGGTATTTGGTTGAATAAGCTGTAAAATAGTTTTTTGTTGTGTAATGTCTTTTTTGCCCTTATAAGATATAAAAATTGTTATTTTTTCATTTTCTTCAGTTTTAATTTTTTTTTTAAAAATTATTTTATTAATAGAAGTTAATATAATTAGTATCAATTAATATAAAAATTGATAAACTTCATTACAACAATTGTTATTTCATTTTTTTAATTTCATTTAATAGAAGTTATTTCATTTTTTTATTATTTCATTTTGTTTTCATTAATATCAATTAGAACAATTTATTTATTTATTTATTATTATTACAATACCAAAGAAGTTATTTAATTGAAATAAATTTATATCAATTAATATTCATGTATTTTGTTTCATTTATATCAATAATTTTTTTTCATTACAATTAATAATATAAAAATTGTTATTTTTTTAATTTATTAATTCATTACAAAATATATCAATTAATATTTCTTTTTTTCTTTTTCTTTTTTTTCCTTCTCTTTTCTCCTCTTTCATCCGTACGCCATCAGTGGTCTGCAACCTTAGCTACCGCCGCGATCTAGAACGACAGAGAGGGAGCACTATTGATCATCATTGTTCACCCACCTAAACAATACCGGCGATGGGAATTGGTTTGTGAGAAATAGAGAGAGACAAAGAGATGACGACAGTAGATCGTGACAATGGTGACTATGGTTCAGATCACAATGCGTGAGGTTTTGCCTTGAGATCGCGATGATGGCAACTCTGGTTCAGATCGCTATGGCTCTAGAGAACAAACACACACACCGGAGAGAGAGAGAGAGAGAGAGAGAGAGAGAGAGAGAGAGAGAGAGATAGCTCTGGTTTAGATCACAAGCTGACTAGAGAGATAGAGCACAATGCCGGAAATCATCTCCAGACACCGGAAATCGCCTATCATTTTCTGAGAGGAGTGAACAATGTTTTCATTGTTACTTATATAGTGGACATTTGGTAATATTTGAGATTGATAAGGGGCATTTAAGTCATTTTGTCCCTTAATTCTAGCTTTCCGCTTAAGCTGATTCAAAAAAGCACATTCTCCTCCACTTAAAGAATAATCACCTTTTTGATTTAATTTAAGCTAAAAGCTGATCACTTAAATTACACCAAACACACAAAAACTACTTAAGTTAAGCGCTACCAAACGGAGCCATTGAATAAATGAACCAATTTTGAGTTGGTTAGTTCATGTGATAATAGGATGAAATAAAAAATTCATCGAAAAAGAAGGATGTATCGAATTTTATTTATTTATTTATTTTTAAAAATTTATTTTATTATTGTTATCTTTTTTAAAGAGATGAGACTTAAATCTTCGCACCAAATCACATGGCTTAAATGCTCTACTTTTATTCATCTCATAAATGACTAAATCTCTTCGAAAAGCTTATTATTTTAATCGGTGGTGCTACATACATCAATTTAGTGTATGCACTAGTGTACCAACTAGTGTTATTATATCATTAATGACCATATTTATTATCCAAATTACAAATACCCAAATCTCTAAAATTATGTCACATCATCTGTTGGTACACTAGTGTGTACATTAATTAGTACATATAATATTATTATATTTTAATAGATGTGATTAATGGCTTTCATGCCTTACCAATGTTACCATTTAAGATTAATTTTGGAAATTTGATTATAAATCCCTCATAGTTTTCTTTTCTAGTTAAAAGGACAAAAAAAAAAAAAATTAGTACTTTTAAACTCTCCTCATAATTATAAAATCTTGTATGAAGGATAAAACCTGTTATTTGATCATTATATTTTCTTTTTCCTTTACAACACAATCTCTCTCTCTCTCTACCAACTCGATGGTTGTTTATCGTCTCCACCATCTTTATTGTCTTCCACGTCGCTCATCCTCATCGTCGGCCAGCGATTACCATTTTTACCATCAAACTACCATCATCTCAAATTTGATGCCTACGAATTCAGATTTGAGATCAAAAAGTTCAGATCTAAGATAAATGAATTTAGATTTGATAGAAAAATGAGAAATCGAGAGATTGTAATGAAAAATCAAGAGTTTTTTATTTGTTTGTTCAGAGATCTAAAAGTAAAATTTGACTTTGTTTCATTTATTTTGTATGTATTCTATTTTTTATAACAATAAAATTTTACTTTGGTTAATGACAATAAACTTTGATTGTTGATATGCTTGATGACAATAAATTTTACTTTAAATCATAGTAAAATTATAATAAATTTACTATGATTCAAAGTAAAATTTACCCTAAAACATGTTGCAATGATGACTTTATAAGAGAGGGTTACATTATGAATCAGAGTAAAATTTTACTATTCGAAAAACAGAGCATCATGAGAAAAAGAAAGAGAGATAGAAATATAGAGTTCGAAAACATAGTATCATGAGAAGAAGAAAGAGAGAAAAAGAGTGAAAGAGAGCATAAATGGTGAGTGAGACATACATATATATAGAGAGAGAGAGCAGAATCCTCAGAACCAGAGAGAGAGTGAAAGATCTCAGATGTGAGGTTCGCAAATTGTCATTTTCTGGCGACGACTATAAATGATCTCAGATTTGATATGGTGAAGACGATAGAGAAAGAGTTCCATGGTGAGCCGCAACGGCGTCAATAAAGAGTGACAGTGGTAAGATAGCTTGACAGATATCAAAGATAATGAGATGAGAGAGTGAAATAACACAAATCAAGGTGTTTTGATTTGCTTTGGTGGTTTGATGTAACACAAATCTAATATGTATGTATATATTTAGGGGTATTATAGTAAAAAAATAAGTTTTAAAATACTAAGATTTTTAAAAAGAGAGCTACTATTTACACTTATCTTATTTCTTTGGACCCCATACCTTTCATTTTTTTTTTTTGAATTCTAATTTTGTGCATTGATAAAATTTTATTTCTATCTTCATTCCTAATCTTCTAACCCTAATTTTCCAAACCCTAACCCTAACCCTAACCCTAATCCCATTCTCATTCTCATTCTCATTCCCATTCCCATTCCCATCATCTCTAGCATTACACCACCTTCGGTCGTTCCTACTTTCGGCAGCCATTCTAGTGCCTCCCCACCAGCGACCACCCTTTTACCATCTCTCACAACTGCAACCCCTCATTAACTTCTTCCAAATATGGGTTCTGTCTGTCAAAACACACAGTTTAAGCCTCAATCAAAGCACTTGGGTTTAGGTGATTTGAGATTGCAACCTGCTAGACATCCATAATTTAATTTACGTACATGTTTGGAGCCTTTATTCGAATTCAAATCCCAGTTCGAAGGCCTTAATCTGTTCGAATCTGTTAGTAAACCAGGGGATTATCTTCGCGATTGATCTTTCTCTAAAGTCGGAAGTCGATTCGTGATCTTCGAACCTTAGCTAATTGCAATCATTGAATCGTTGAGATTTGAAGACCTGGTCGAGATCCGAACTCATGTCGAAGTTCCTTTTGAGGGGTTGACAGACATGAAGAGGGAAGGGGAGGGCGAGAGTTGGCCGGTGACGATGATGACCGCCGGATTTACAAAGAAAGAAAATGGTGGTGGGTTGGATTGAGAGGGTGGATTAGGGAGATGGTATACTTGGAATTAAGGTAGGGATTCAAAGAGAAAATAGAAGAAACCCATTTTAAAAAAGGAAAGGGGCAAAAAAAAAAAAAAAAAAAGGTAGGGATAAATAGCAATCATCTTTTGAAATGATTTATATAATTCTTATCCTTTCAACCTGTTAGGTAGCTTGAAAAATTAGAGGCTTGAGAGGCTCGAAATCTCAAAACGAAGTTGTTTTGGGATTTTTTTTTTTGGGTCTTCTTTTTTTTCCTTTCCATAACTTGCAGAAAAAGAAGAAGAAAGAAGAGAAAAGAATAGGAGATGAGAGAAAAGAGATGGAACAGATAGAGCAACAATATTAGGTAAAGCAGAAAAACAATACAAATAAAAAATCTCTTGTTTGAACAACAACATCAGAGAGAGCAACATCTTTTGTTTTTCTAGAACAGAGAGATTCAAACCCAAAAATCAAAAAACAAAATCAATACAAATTAAATCCAAAAATCAAAACCAAAAATTAAACCCGGAAAGATTCAAATCAAAACCAAAAATCAAACCTACAAATTAAAACCAATCAGAGAGAGAGATACAGAGAGAGAGAGAGACATAGAGCACACACACACAGAGAGATATACACAGATCTGTGGAGGATGGCAGCGTCGGTGATAGCGGCTCTCTTTCTTCTCTCTTACTCTGTCTTCTCTTTTTCTCCCTCATTTTGTTTCACAAATAAAAGAGAGGGAAAAAAAAATTCAAAACGACGTCGTTTTGAATTCAGACCACTCGAGCCTTGGAAAATTTCGAACTCTGAAGCATTTTTCTTATCCCTTTAAGGATAAGTTAGACTGTGAATGATCTATCACCAAATCTCGCAATTAATTTCTCATTATTACTTTCTAATATTTGTCTTAATTTAATTCAATCATTTATTTGCCCGATACACTATCCTCATCCTCGTGTTTTGTGGGCTTAGAAAAAGTAAATATTATAATGAAACGTTTTGAGTTTCTTAAACATACAATATTTGCCTGGCCTTGATTTTTCGAACAGAGGTCAAATACAATTTTGTAAAATGAGTCCAATCAAAAACAAAAAAAAAAAAGAAAAAGAAAAACCACATAATATATATCTGGTTATTTTCTTTTAATTTTTCTAGAAAATTTCAAATTTTCAAGTTGTTCCTTGGGGGGGGGGGAGTGACCCCAATAGTAAATTTTGGATAAAAAAAAAAAGAAAAACCACATAATATATATCTGGTTATTTTCTTTTAATTTTTCTAGAAAATTTCAAAATTTCAAGTTGTGCCGGGGGGGAGTGACCCCAATAGTAAATTTTGGATAAATTACGTTTTTTACCCTCATTTTTAGTTAAATTTTATTTTAACCCCTTATATTCTAATTTAATAATTTATCTATTTGAACACTACTATTTTATCACTTTTCAATTTTTAGTTTAACTTGTTATGTTTTAATAATTTTCAATTAGTTTTTAAAACGTAAAGAAATAGAAAGATTACGTTGAATTTATATTAAAATTTAAAATTTTAATTGTTATAATTAAAAGTTGAAGAATCAAAATTTGACGGTGAAATTTGTAATTTACTCAGGGAAAAAAGAAATTGGACCAAAGTAAAACTAAAAAAAAAAAAAAAAAAAAGGAAGAGGTTTGCATTGCATGTGTGGAGGGAGGGAAGTTTCAAAAAAACAAAACCTACAAAATGCCAAAACAGGGTGTTAAAAGGGAAGGAAGAATGAATCCAAAAAGTAAAGCCTTCTTTAATTTCACTCTCTTCTCATTTCATGTGTTGTGGATGATTCTTTTCCCTTTGTTATCATTTCCCAGTTTCTCCCAACCGCTTTGCCTTCTTCTTTCATTCCTTTTCCTTTGATTCTTTCCATTTCCACCCCAACCCATGTACTTTTTTATTTTTGTTTTTTATGATTGTGTGATTCTGATTCATCACACTTAAAAGGGGCTTGCAATTTCATTCGTTTTTATGTAAAATACTTGGTCATGACCATGGGTTGTACATTCTTATTCATTTCGCTTTGCATGTGTTTGGGTTTTGGTCTAACTGAAGCAGTTCCCGCAAATTCTCTCATCACAAAGCTTCCAGGTTTCAATGCTACTTTCCCTTCGAAGCACTACTCTGGGTATGCCTCTTCCTTACCATTTTGTGTATTTTGACTTCACAGCTTTGTTTGGTTCTTGGAATTTTCAAGAAAAATAAAAATAAAAATTTTCTGAAAAATGTGGAGAAATTGAGTAGGCATTTTCCATAAGTTTATTTTCTTCTTCTTCTTTGTTTGATTATCATAGAAAATGGATAAGTACAAGTAATTTTATTTCCCTACTATTCACTTTTTTTCAACAAATTCAAATTCCAAACATAACTTAGAAATGTTTTGATTTTGGGTGTGTTGAATTGGCTACAGATTCTGGAGGTCACCCCATGTGAAAGGGGTGATCCTCATGTCAACAATGGAAGGCAACCAACCAAGTCAAGCTCGGTGGCCACCAACCATGTCAAAAGTCAAAGAATGAAGGCTCTCCCACCTACTCCTTTGTGTATAAATAGAGACGGGAGGGAGAGGATATAGATATCAGAAACAGCTGAGAGGTGTGAGCTGAGAGCAAAGAGAGAGAGAGAATTACAGAAAGTGTTGTAATTCTTACCATTTTGTTCAATATAGTGAATCCGCTGCCCGTGGACGTAGGCGACTTGCCGAACCACGTTAAATCTTGTGTGTTATTGCTTGTCTGAGTTCCCTGGTGTGCCCCCGATCCGCAACAGGGTGTGATGTGAAGGTATGTATCAATAGATGGGAATCCTGCAAAACAACTCTTCTACTACTTTGTCGAGTCGGAAAGAAAGCCATCGAATGATCCGGTCGTTTTGTGGCTTAATGGGGGGCCAGGGTGCTCTAGCTTTGATGGGTTTGTTTATGAACATGGTACTACATTCTTGAAACACATCAATTTTGGAATTCTCAACTTATCTGTTGTTACAATAGCTTTACTTATTGTATCTGTACACAAATATTAGACTGTAAAATTGTTTTTCAAATGTGTGAGAAATTAAATTCTATTTAGAATACAGGGTTGATTGAGTTACCATTTTGTCCGGAATATGTTGTCATGATATACATGAAATGGGTTGTTTGGACATTTTTGAGTTCTTGTACTACTAACACATTTGATTTACATATTACATCAGCCAAGTAAAATTTGTTATGTGTATAAAATGTTTATTGTGTAACCTTGCAGGACCATTCAACTACGAGGTAGGAAAGCGACGCGGAGAACTGCCCATATTACATCTCAATCCTTATAGCTGGTCCAAGGTTGATAATTCTAAAAACCTTATATTTTATCGATTTTCTTTTTCAGTGAGATATTCTTCTTCTTCTTCTTTTTTTTTTTTTTGGAGAGAGGGGGGGGTTAGATTGGAGGTTGTAGACCACCAGGGAGGAGTGAGTCGAATCCTTGAACTCCTAATGAGATGCAAGAGTTCTGCCAAAACTAGGCTAGCCCCAAGTGGTCTTTTCATTGTGATATTCAAAATAATTGTCTTCATGTCTCATTCTATGATACTAGTTATATGAATCGATATTTTTCTTGGCTATTTATGTTGATTGAGTTATTCCCCACTTTGTTTCTTCCTTTATTTATTTTTAAATAAATGCATACTAGAATCTCTCACATTTGTGGTTTTTTGTCCTAGGTTTCCAACATCATCTATTTGGATTCCCCAGCCGGTGTAGGCTTTTCTTACTCTGAAAACATGACATTTTATTCGACTGGTGATTTACAAACAGCCTCTGAAACAAACATTTTCCTACTCAAGGTACTTTAAATTAAGAATTAATTAATGACAACTTTTGACAATATTATTCGATAATTTTGTGGAATCAAGTTTGGAATTTAGAATCTATTTAGAGAAAAAAAATTGTTAATTAGTGAATGATTTTTGTTGTTTTGCAACCAGTGGTTCAATCTATTTCCAGAGTTTCTTTCCAATCCATTTTATATTGCTGGAGAATCTTATGGTGGAATCTATGTGCCAACTCTTGCGTCTGAAATAGTGAAAGGTATTTATGCTGGCTTACGTAACAGATTATTGTGTTGAATTGAGTTTGTGGTTGTAATTCTAGTCTTCCTTACAGGGGCCAGAAGCGGTATGAAGCCCACTATCAACTTGAAGGCAAGTTACTTTTGCCTATGTGATCAAAGCATTGAACTATTTATGGTGTCAAAACCTTGAATTCAAATTCATTTGATGCAGGGTTACATGGTGGGAAATGGCGTTGCAGACTCGAAGTTCGATGGCAACGCCCTCGTCCCATTTGCACATGGAATGGGTCTCATCTCTGATGGTATTTTTGAGGTAGTCAAAAAGCGTATGTTGCCTAGGAAAAAGGAAATAGACATGAAAAGTTACTCTTGGAATAAAAATCATTTTTACTTTCAAGTGTTTCTTATCTAAAACCCATGTCCGCCTCTAATTATGACCAGGTCCGAATTTTTTAGTCCACTTTGACTTCCAATCCACCAGAGTAGTAGCCTACAAACGATGGTGAGACCTCAGTGGTGATTAGCAACTGAAGGGTTTATTGATTGTCCGTATTAAGTTTTATCTTATATTGGATTCTCTTAACATTTGTTTTTCTTTATTTTGGCAACCACAACTTGGCATTGATGTTTTGAGATTTTGGTTAAAAAGGCCAAGAAAAGTATTGTGATATAACATTTTGGAGATTATGAGACTAACCAATTTCTATATTGTAATTTTGATGAAAATTTAGCGTTAACTTTGGAAGAAACTGATGAGTAGACATTCCTCCAAGCACTTGTTTGCAGCTGGCACTAGCTAAGTTACATAGTTTTTGTTGCTCAACATGTTTGAGACAAATGCATGATCTTGTTGTAGGAAGCTGAAGATGCTTGCAAAGGAAACTATTATAATCCGAATAGTCTAACGTGCCAACTTATGATTAGCAAAGTAGAATCGGTAAGGTGGTTTTTATTTACACTTGCTTTAAACTCTGTTTCCTTGAATTAAATTTTTTATTTTTTATTTTTATGTATGCTTATGTTCTGAATGAATGTAAGAAGCTTACTTTTAAAAACAGCTAATTAATTGTGTTTATATTTAAAAATGTTTTGGTTTCACTTCCTGTCATGGTGACTATCTAGGTTATAAAAGATCTAAACTTATATGACATCCTTGAACCCTGCCATCATAGCCCAACTTCGAAAGAAGATGAAAATGCAAAGACAAGCTTGCCATTGAGCTTCAAGCAATTAGGGGTGACTGAGAGGCCTCTTGCTGTGAGAAAAAGGATATTTGGACGTGCATGGCCTTTACGAGCACCAGTAAGAGATGGCGTAGTTCCAATGTGGCCTCAATTAATGGAAAATTCCGTTGTTCCATGCATTGTAAGTAAAATGAATTGATCTATTTTTCCCTTAATTATATTTGTGTATGAAAATTGTTTAGCATGCACGAATGTATTGCTTAGATTTGAAAATTAAGATGGGTTTTGGTAAACCTCAAGGATGGTATACATAATACTTGGTAACTATTTGTTCCCTCCGAAGTCATTTGACTCAAACAATGTGTTTTTATTTTAATTTTTTTTAAAGTGATATAAATATATAAATTATGACATCATGGTGCCTAATACAATATAAAAAATGTTCAAATATTTCTGGGATTGAAAAATATTTTAGATTAGCAAGTTGTGTAATCTCGGATTCTTATTTTCCTTAAATCTCTGGATTTAACAGGTTTAAGCCATTGCTAAAGTAGAATGAAAATGATAATGAAATGAAGATTTAATTACCAAAAAACTTGGAAAGCAAAATGACATACGAGAAAATTTCTTGTGGTTTTAACCATTTACGAGAGGAAAATTTATGGTCGTGTCTGGGATGCCAAAGTTTGGGTAAAATAGCTAACAACGACAAAAAAGGCTAAAATAACCAATAAGACAAAATGTCACATTCAAACCATAATCATTTCACTTTTTCTTTTACAACCATCAAATCAACTAAAAGAAAAAAAACCAACTATCATCTCAAATACAATTTTTTTAGCTAGGCTAAAACAGCCAAAAAGCCAACTAAAATAGCCAAGTTTCCAAATGGGGTTGGATTCTATGCGCATGCTACAAATAGACAGTAATCCAGGATGTCAGTAGTGAAAAGCTGGGGAGTTAGATGACAGTGATATTATTTGTGCTACATCATTTGACAGTGATTCTGATTGGATTTGATTTTGTTTCCATTTTGTTCTGACTGGCTCTGATTGGTTATTGTGCAAATGCAGAATGATGAAGTAGCAACTATATGGCTGAACAATGATGCAGTTAGAAAAGCAATCCATGCAAACCCTGTATGCTACCTAGTAAAATGTTTTCATTTTACTTAATCAAATATTGGGAATTGATTGTCTTACTTATTTGATGTTTTTTGTACTACAAAAATTAGGGAAGTGGACGTTGGAGGTTATGTACAGATCAGATGGCTTACACTCATGATGCTGGAAGCATGATTAATTATCATAAAAACCTTTCTACCGAAGGATATCGTGTGCTTATATACAGGTGAACTCTTTTCTGTTTTAAAATTTCAGAGGTGCCATTGATTGGCCTATTTTACTTTTCACAGGTAATGTATGTCTAGACATGTGTACAAGTACATCTATGTATGTCAGCTACCTCTGTGTCTGCACATCTTTGAGGCAGTTGACTGGAAATAAATGCTATAAAAACCTTTCTACCCAAGGATATCGTGTGCTTATATACAGGTGAACTCTTTTCTGTTTTAAAATTTCAGAGGTGCCATTGATGGGCCTATTTTACTTTTCACAGGTAATGTATGTCTAGACATGTGTACAAGTACGTCTATGTATGTCAGCTACCTCTGTGTCTGCACATCTTTGTGGCAGTTGACTGGAAATAAATGCTATAAAAACCTTTCTACCCAAGGATATCGTGTGCTTATATACAGGTGAACTCTTTTCTGTTTTAAAATTTCAGAGGCGCCATTGATGGGCCTATTTTACTTTTCACAGGTAATGTATGTCTAGACATGTGTACAAGTACATCTATGTATGTCAGCTACCTCTGTGTCTGCACATCTTTGAGGCAGTTGACTGGAAATAAATGCTAGTGTTGATTTATTTTGTTTGAAAAAAGAAAAAAAGAAAAGAGAAAAGAATCTATCTATTCTTATGAACTGCTTTTCATATCACTAATAATTTGCAACTTCACTCCACTTTGTATAAGTGAGATAGCAGAATAATGCAAAGAACATTGTGGTATATGTTATTTTATTTAATTCTTGTGAACTTATTCTGCAGTGGAGATCATGATATGTGTGTGCCATTCACGGGAAGTCAAGCATGGACCAGATCACTTGGTTATAACATTGTAGATGAATGGTGGCCTTGGCTATCTAGCAGTGGAGTTGCTGGGTATATGCCTCCCACTTTTCTTACTAATGTATTATGTATGTGATTTGCAATTTGTTAATCATAAAAAAAATATTCTAGGCTTTGCAGAAAGCATGGAAATGAGGAGTGAGTTTATGAGTTCATTCCCCTTTTCTTTCGACTTATGCTCATACAGAAAATTTATTGTTTTATTTGTTGCAGGTTCACACAAGGATATGCTAATAACCTTACCTTTCTCACCATCAAGGTTTGTGTGCAACGACCTTGCTTTTGTTTTTTATTTTTTTTCTCGCTGTATTTTAACTACTCATACTAACAACAAACACCGTATAAATTCTTGCATTCTCATTCTTTTTGGAGAATAGTGCTTTTTACCCCCCCTCCCTAAAAATAAAAAAAATAAAAAAAAGAGGCTGGTAAATGTGAATTCAGAAGTTGAATACTTTGGAGGACTTGTTCACAATGGAATAACTAGGTGTTATGTATGTCCTCAAGCGAGAATGTGAGTGCTTCCCACTTTAGAAGAGGGAGTTGTCCGATTAAGTATGGGAATAACACCTCCAAATAGCTAAAAAGTTGAATAAAATGGATTGTCCGAACTTTTACACAGCCTTGGGTAGAACTCAATCCCGAAAGATAGTTATTGAGGTGAAGATGCCTTCATGCTTACAATGTGGGACTTTGCTTCACATCCTCCCTCATGTGGAGGGTGCTCACTTGGCAGCGCCTGCCAAGTGACAAAACCAAACAGATTGAGAGGAAGAATAAGAGAACATTGTATCCTGTTAATCCTCTGTTTTACATAACCCATTAACCCTAAACTAAATATAACAAAGCCCTAATCACTAAAGCATATGAAAAGTACGAAGGCACCCACCAGATCCGACTCCGTTCTTGATAGAGCACAAAATACCCAAAAATACAAAAGATGTCTTCACAAGAACAACCATGCGCTTTGTTACATTAATTTGCAAAGAACACATCAACTAGAATGATTTATGTATATGATAATCAAATTTGTAAGATGAGTCAGTCATATCTTATCAAAGATCATTCCAATATGATAGAGGTCTTCTACGTGCTCTCTATGTCAAATTCCTTTGTGGCAAGAAAGCTTTCCGTATTATTATTGCCATTAATTGTCTATAGTTATTTTTCGTTCAATTTATGATTATTTTAGTCTCATCATGTGGTACAGGGAGCAGGGCATACAGTACCTGAATATAAGCCACAAGAATCGTTGGACTTCTATAGCCGTTGGTTAGAAGGAAGGCCGATATGATATGATAGAGAATTTGATCTTGATGATAAAAAAAACAAAAACAAAAACAAAAAAGCTAGCTAGCTGTCTTCATTTTGCAGTGTATTAGATTCATTTCTTATTTCAACATATTGATGAGGAAAATAACATTTACTCACACATGAAATAACAAATGAAAATCCAATTTAATTATAAAATTGTGTTTGTCTTAAGCCCTCTAATTGTCTCACTGTCTGTTTGAGACTCGATCCAAGATTCATGGCTACAATTTTTAATTTTTTTGTTCTATTTTTTTCTTAAAAATCTTTTTGTTGGGATTGCAGCCTGGTTCAACAAGCTGCCCGGCTTCAAATCAATAGGTTTATTCAGCCCAAATCTCATTCAGGCTAGGCTAGCCCGCTCGGGGTATGGGCTTGAACCAGGTAAAAACTCACTGGGCCAGACAGGCTAGAGTTGGGCTGCAGGCCTTTGGGCCAAACGATGGGCCTTACACCCATGTCTCTTATCTTCATTGGAGCTAAACATGGGCCCTGAGTTTTTAGAATCCATGTTTTGGGACCTTGAAATTTGAGGATCCTAGTCAAAGTCGTTTATAGCTATAGTTAGATCGTGATGTTTTCAGGGTCCAAGGCGAAGCTGTTTTTTAGGCATTCGTTAAATAATCTCGGATCTCATTTGAGAATAGATTATTTTAGTAATTTTTTGATATTTTGGCTAAAATATAAGGTACAAAAAATTAGTAGGTGTAGAATGACTTTTTGATTTTTTACGAAAAGACGTATAAAAAGTAGAGAGAAAAAGAAATCTTTGACTTTTTAATATAGATTATATAAGCTTTTGATTTTTTAAATATTTTTTTAACTTTTAGATTAAAAGTATTGCATGCCAAATGACATCTTATTTAAGGGGCTATAAATGATTTTCTTATTAGTCTCTTTCCTCTTGGAAAAGATGACCATTTTGTCTTGTCCTTTGTTTTACAAAGACAACCAGTCCATTTTGTTGACAAACGGTAATCAAGGCAAAAAATATATATACACATATATTATTGGGGGACCCTCGTGTCAAAATTACAAGAAAACACTGATCAAAACACTCCAAATATCATTTGATTTTTAATCCCGAATTAAAATTTTCTTACCTAAAAAGAAATAAGAAAATTAAAAGCTTTTGGGGATTTGTTTGTTTACTGGAAAGCTGGAGTTTAATGATGCATCTTTCTAGAAAGTCACGCTGCCAATCATCAACTTCCTCCCTTTCTCTCATATTCTCATTTGTTGAGAGATTATTTGGTGGTCATCAAGCGATATTTACACCATTTAGGTGGTGTTTGGCAAGTGGGTTGGGGCTAAAATAGTCACAAAAGACAAAATAGGCTATTTTAGTCACAACAAACAAAACATCACATCCAACTCATAATCATTACACTCTTCTCTCACAAAAAAAAGTCAAAAAGTCAAAAAGTCAAAAAGCCCTTCCCAAACCAAGCTTTTTAGCCCAGGCTAAAATAGCCAAAAAAGCCAAAAAGCCAAAAAGCCAACCCACTTCCCAAACGGAGGCTTAATATGTAATATTTGTTTGCTTATATAACGAAAATTAACATTAAAAGTTATGGGTCTTCCTATATTAATTAGTAAAATACATATTAAAACATCACATATATTTATTTTAAAATTATTGAGACTGTTTAGATCATAAAATAAATTTTAATAGAAACTTTGAAAAATAAAAAATAAAGAACGATAGATGAAATGTGAAAAACAGCTTATATAATTTTCTCCACAATTGGTTGCATTTCATTGCACTTCTGATTCTGTGTCCAATCCCAGCAAAGGACAGTGCATGTATAGTCATCAACCACAACTGACAAGATGTGTAAGGTTGGTTTTGGTTTGTTTTTCAAGTCTTTTTTACAAATTGTAGAATTCTATTATTCCAAAACAGCAGTCTTCCACTAAGCTCCTCTCTCTCTCTCTCTCTCTCTCTCTCTCACACACACACACACACACACACAGAACACACAGAGACTTGTATATATATATATATATATATAATTAAATTAGTTTTGTGTTTATTATGTAAAGTGAATTGTAAAGAAGGCAGATAGGAGGCATCATTGGCCATGGAGAGGTTATTGGTAGTTTTGAAGGTATCATCACTTTGCTGCTTGCTTTTGGGTTATGGGAGGATTATGGTGGAAGCAGCACCAGAGGTTTCTTTGATTATAAGTCTTCCAGGGTTCAATGATACCTTCCCTTCAAAACACTATTCTGGGTATGCAATTCAATCCTACATACATTTATTACTATACAATCTACATCTATACATAGAGTTTTGTATGTAGTAAAATTAATTGTAGAGTGCTTATGTCGTGTTGTGTGTGAAGGTATGTGACCATAAATGGCAATCCTACTCCTCCAAAGAACCTTTTCTACTACTTTGTTGTCTCCGAAAGAAATCCATCAATGGATCCGATAGTTTTATGGCTCAATGGCGGACCTGGTTGCTCTAGCTTCGATGGCTTCGTCTATGAACATGGTACCTTATTTGACTTCAAACATGCCAATTTTCAATTATATCATATAAGGTTATTTTACATTAACGTCTCAAAAGTATGCGATTTGTTATACTTATTTCTCAATCTTTTATTTTTTTTCAATTTGGTCTCAAAGTATGCGACTGTTATATTTTTGTTCCTAATGTCAGCATGATTCAAATTCAATAATAGGGGGGTAATTTTCTAAGCTTCACAAAAAGAATGCAATAGAATTAAAAGATGAAAAATGCTAGGGACACACAAAAATCTACCAACAAATCTACCAAATCATTCACATGCACCCATATGAGTATTTGATAGATTTTTTGGTAAAAATTTTGTGGTCTGTAGCATTATTGTTAAAAGATTGAAGGCCAAAATGCAACAAAGCACATATTTTGCGCATCAAAATGGTACAAAATTTATACTTTAATGCTGTGTTTGGTTGGGGGATTTGGGAAGAGATTTGGAAAGGAAAATGGAAAAGGTGTGTGAAACTAGGTGAAATATAAGTATATTTTATTTACATTTCACCTAACTTTTCCCTTTCCAAATCCCTCCTCAAATCCTCCAACCAAACACAGCGTAGCGTAAAGACTCTATGCATTTTGGCCTTTGATTTTGTTGAGATTTCATGTAAAATTTTGAAAATACCTATCTTCCTAGTATTGATTTTGAGCAACACTACGGTAGGGGCCAAAGTACAATAGATCATGCATACTTTGGGGACTAAAGTGAAAATAATAGAAAATTAGGGACTAAATTTCAACAGATTGCATACTTTAAGGATCTTTACTGTAATTAATCCTATAATATATTTAATTACTGTTTTTCATATGCCTTGGTTCATGCTATTTGTACTTGGTATTAATTGGAATCTATCTTCTTTATTTATTTATTTATTTTTTTGTTACTCAATTATATTTATTGACCTTTTATTAGTGTCGTGGAATAGAATATGCAGATTCTTTTTTTTTTTTTTTTTGTGGAGAAATAGAACTTCGTTCAAAAGAAAAGGTTTTTAAGAATACAAGCAACCTAATATTAAGAATAAATACAATAGATATTAATCTACTATTGGATTCCAAAGGAAATTAGAAAGAACTTGGCGGGCCAACATATGGACAGGCTTGATCGATTCCCTCGGCCGCTGCTGCTGCTGCTGCTTCTTCTTCTTCTACCATGTTATGTCTATTTTCTTTGTAAGATTGTTTTTGGTTATCATTTTTGTCAGCGAGGCTTACACCTTTTCAGTTAGTTATTCATTTTTTTTTTCTTTTCGTGTTGAACAGATGCAAGACAGAGAGAGATTTTTGAACAAATAGAAATAATATTTGATTTTAATTTTCTGAATTTAATTTTTTAAAACCTGAGTTTTTTGTTTTTTGTTTTTCGTTTTTCGATTTTCGTTTTTCGTTTTTTTATTTTTATTTTTAATGAATATTTTTTAAATTTTAATTAATTTTTTTTATTTTTTTAGATGCACTTTGTTTAGATGTATCTAAGTGTTCGTTTGGCAATGACTTTTTTAATTGTCTTTTTTGATTTTTTTAGTCTGAGATTTTTTTAGTGGTTTGGTATTCTTGTTTAGCTTTTTTGATTTTTTAGCTTTGGAATGGCAATTTTTTTTTTGTCTTTTTGTGATTTTTGTCCTTTTATAATTTATAATTTTTTTTTTGTCCTTTTGTGATTTTTTAATCCAACATAAAAACCAAAGGACCCCTAACTAGAAAAATATTTGTGAAAAAATATTTTAAAAAATTAATAAATACACAAATACGAAAATGTATTAAATTTTCGTATTTTTTTGTATTTATTGTATTTTTTAAAGATTTTTTTCACAAATATTATATTTTTAAATGTGGTTATGTTAGATGTGTCCAAAAATTAAAAAATTTCTTAAAATATTAAAAAAACTTATTAAAAATATTAAAATACGACAAATAAAAAAGTACAATTTTTTAAAAACTGGAGCCAAACAAAATAATTTTTTTAATAGATAGGTTTGGTTTGAATTGACATTGTAAGCAGATAACTCTCATCTCTCTAGCAATTGCAATAGATAGATACAAAACTTCAACAGATAGAAAATTTGACTACATAAAAAAATTTCAACATACAGAAATTTCAACATATAAAAAAATTTGAACAACAGATAATTTTTTTTAACAAATAGTAAATGAAAAGTCAAATAGATAAAAACAGTTCAAGAGTAAAATTAAAAATAAAATATTCTACAGGATTTCTCACCAATCTATTACATAAAATGTAAACTTCTCATCAACAAAAAATATCTCTTGTATCTAATATTTTATACTCTTTTTATATTAGATTTATCACCAATCAACACTTTATATTACTATTTATGAAAATGAAAATATATATTATTCTGCATACATATTTTTTCTCAATAAGCTTTTCCAATAAAAGAGAACCTATTACACGCATCGAAGAAACTTGACACAAAATGGTGAAAAAAAGTTAAAAATTAGTAGTACATTTATTTATAATAACAACTATTCAATCTGATTTAAAATGTCCATTCCATTCTTTAAAAATGAAAAAATATATATATACGAACTTACTAATCAATTTTATTAACTAAATTTATTTATTTACAGGTTTTGATAAGTTCATCATTATAAATTTATTCATAAAAATAAAAAATTATGAATAAGAGTTAATGACTAATCACTTTGCTTGGTTAAAGTTTTCAAAAAAATATTTTTTAGAAAATTCTACTTTCTTATTTTTCGTATTTTTTTGTTTTTACTGATTTTTTTAATATTTTAAGTATTTTTTAAAAAAATTTTAAATATACCTAACATAAATATACCTAAAAAGTAAAAAATTTGTGAATTTGTTTTTTTAAAAATTCACTAAATACCAAAAATATTAAAAAAAAAAAATGAGAATTCAGTACATTATTTGTATTTTTATGTATTTATTAATTTTTTAAAATATTTTTTTCATAAATTTTTTACTTTTTAGATATGATGATATAGTTTGTTCCAGTGAATGGATCGGGCAGGTTCAAGCTCCTCAGGCCCACGTCCAAATGATCAAGCCCACCAGATAACCTGCAAACAAGTCCAACGGAGAACGGGGTAGTCCCCCAGTGAACCCTTCGACGAGCAAGTTAGAAGGAGAAGTAGGGTGTAGAGAGAGATTAGAGATAGAAAGCTTAACCTTCTTCTTGTCTTCAACGTTTGCTTATATCTTTTGGTAATCATTTCGCTGTCCCTTCCGACCTGCACTCCTCGCCGAAAGTCTATGCTGTAGCTTACCTTGTTCAGGATAAGGGGGTCCTGTTCCGACGGAGAGGTGTTGTCGTAATAAATGCTGTGATGAGCTGCATTAATGGTGATGTGCAGTGGCAATAACTTTGCAGATCTTTGTCTGCTGATGTGGCTCGTCCTTCTCTTGCCGTGTGTCTGAATGTCATTGGCTCTTTATGCCATGTTGGATTCCAGCTGTTCTGGACCTCACCAGCTGGGTTATGTATTGGGCTCCAAGTGATGGGCTTGGATTGTTCATAGTGATTCATGGCCTTTATGGGCTTATACACGTCAGTAGTCCCTCATTCCCAAGTGCAACTTTAGTCCAACGAAGGGAATACTAATGAAGAAGATGAGGGTGTTAGGGATTGGCAGGATTGAGGTCGACCGGCAGGGGTGACCGAGAGGGTGAATCGACCGGGAGGTGGTCCGACCGTGCAGGGTTGGCTGAGTGGGAGGGTCGACCACGAGGAGGGCCGACCATGAGGAGGGTCGACCGCGAAGGGTGAGGTGGAGAGGCGTGGGGCTCGAGAGGCGGCGTGTCACGTGGTGATTTGAAGGGGAAAAGGCAGGGTAAGGGGAGGAGACAGTGGATCGTGGTCGTACATGTGGCAACATCCCGCCGGGGGGGGGAGATTAGGCGTTGGATCATAAATGAAACGATAGATCATTATGGGTGTTGAAAAGACAGTTTTGGCGGATGTTTTGAAAAGTTTTCAAACTGGCGAAAATTAATTGTGACCCTTGGAATACGGGTAAGCCTTGGGCTTTGGGGATTATTCGATTCACTTACTTGTTTGCAAAAAATCAAAACATCCCAAGTGTTAACTCCTTTGTTGCTCACGATACACCTCTGCAACACTTTTTCGATTTCCTTGTACCCGCATCTAAAGCGATTCGCAGACATACCATATAAATGGCCTAAGAAGAAGCTGCGAATGCTAGGGTGGATCCGCTTGGTGAGGACGATGCAGTGGAGTTAGCGGAGCAGTATAGAACGGAGAGGCAAACGGAGAGGGTGGGTGAGCCGATGGTACGATCTCATGTCTTCACCATAATGGCAGCTCCGAAGCCAATCAGCCAGGTGGAACCAGATCATTGGCACACGAAGGCTGACAAATCAACGGTTACTGCAGCGGATTTGGAGGCTATTCGCGAAAAATACCAGGTACCTGCTGAAATAGAGTTATTGTTGCCGATGTCGACGGAGAGGCCATCCGACGCCAGGCCAGGGGAGTTTGCCCTTTATGAGGAAGCATTGAAGGGAGGACTGAGGCTGCCCCTGCCATAAGTGGTGGTAGATGTCCTGAATCGTTTGGAGGTAGCGCCGGGCCAACTAATGCCCAATGTATGGAAGATCGTACTGGCCTGTGCAAGTGCGTGACCGAAGGCGAACGAAGGGGCGACCATGACAGTAGACGAATTCTTCGCATGTTACAAGGCCTCCGGGCAGCAAGAGACTTGGGTCACTCTGTAGGCAGCAGCAAGGAAAGGGTTGGTGGCGGGGCTGCCTTCGTCGATCAAGGGGTGGAGACCACAGTGGTTCTATGTGTCCGCCAGTGGTGGGGTTGGAGTGCGCACCATTTGGAAAGTGCCCACTAAGTCTGTGGAGCCAAAGCTGGGAGCAGCAGCAGGGGAGAGAATAAAGAGGGCGAAGGCGTGGTGGGAGAAGGAGGGGGTCAGGTGGGACGAACTCGTTCAACCCTCAGCCTTGTTTGCAGCGG